GTGTGTGTGTGTGTGTGTGTGTGTGTGTGTGTGTGTGTGTGTGTGTGTGTGTGTGTGTGTGTGTGTGTGTGTGTACGTGTGTTACTGTATATGATTGGGGCCAAACCCTCAGACCACTTCCTGTAGGAGTAAATGTGCCGTCTTTCAGTTCCTGGGTTTGTTTCAGGATCAGAAGGATCTGGTTTCAATAAAAATCAGGTTCTAAAAGGATCCAAACCTGGACTCAAAGATAAAACCAGACCAGGTTCTGCCGGGTCGGTATTTATTGATCAGGAACCGAAGCTGTGAGTGAAAAACCAGCGTTGTTTCAGGTCTCTGAAGGTCCAACCACAGGGTTTCAGTCGGGTTCTGGTTCTGGTGGTTCTTCTCTTTCTGACCCGTTCTGTTGTAGACCAGCTGCTGTGTTTGGGATCCTGGTTCTGTTGGACCCAGTTTGGTCCAAACTTCTGCTGTCAGTCTTGATTCCAGAACCCTTCGGTCCACAGAGGAGTTCATGACCTTTGACCTTTGACCTGCTAATATTAGCTTAAAAAAACAACTAAACCTAAACTGAAAGGGGGATTTAGCTGAATGCTAGAATTGGCAATTGGCTAGCAAAAAGCTAAAGGTATGAAATTGTAAGCTAGCTATGATGAAGATTTGCAAAAGCTAATAAGAATAGACTGCAGCTAAAAGTAGCAAAACACTAACAGCTAAAGGTAGTAAAATGCAAACCATAAGCTAAAATTTTTATGACTAGTTAGAAGTTGAAAATAGTGAAAAGCTAGCTAATAGCTAAAAGCAGCAGAGCAGTAGCAAAAAACAAAAACAGATGCTAATAGTAAGAAAATCAGTTAACAGCTAAAGGTAGTAAAACACAAACTATAAGCTAAATATTTCATAAGGCTAGCTTCTAGTTGAAAATAGCAAAATGCTAGCTGAAAGCTAAATATATGAAATTAAGCTAAGTATGATAAAGGTTTGAAAAAGCTTATAAGAAGAGACTGTAGCTAAAAGTAGCAAAACACTAACAGCTAAAGGTAGTAAAATGCAAACTAAGCTAAAATTTTCAGACTAGTTAGAGGTTGAAAATAGCAAAATGCTAGCTAAAAGCAGCACAACAATAGCTAAAAACAATTATGAGCATGAAAAAAACAAAAGCAGTAGCTAAAGCAGATTTCAAAGAGAAAAAGATGTTTTTGAAGGAATTGTAGAAATCTGAATATTTTTCTGTTTGTAAATAAAGTTTGATCATTTAAATGTATGAAAGTTACAAAAAGCTAAAGTCACAGCAGCTACAGTATTTCCTGAATGAGCCGAATGTTTTGATCCATGAACGACTATTTGAATTTAAAACAATCATCAGTTTGATTCAACTGGTTTTTATTTCAGCTGATATTTGTTGATTTATTTTTCGGTTCCACTGGTTCCTTCCTGTTTTCTGCCCTCAGGTTGACCACCTTTGGCCTCAGCATCATGGCCTACACTCTGGGCTCGGCGCCGGACGGGAAGACCCGCAGCATCGGACCTCAGCACTGCGTGACCCGGGTGGAACTGTCCGTCACGGCGTCCAGCCTGCTGGACCGGGACGTGGCCTCCAAGTCCGACCCGTTCTGCGTTCTCTTCCAGGAAGTGGACGGGAACTGGGTGGAGGTACGATAACCGGCCGGCAGCTATATGACGGGTCAGAACCAGCACAGATGGGTCAGAACCAGTACAGATGGGTCAGAACCAGTACAGATGAGTCAGAACCAGTACAGATGGGTCAGAACCAGCAGCTTTTTAGTGGAAAGACGATGATTAAGTACAGAACAGAGGCGGAGCTAGACTTTTTAACAAGGTGGGGCCAAAGTGTTTTTAGGGGGTCTACATACAATATGGTCCCCCACATATAATGCAGGGATGTTGCAGGAGTGTTTCAGGGATGTTGCAGGAATGTAGCAGGGATGTTGCAGTAATGTTGCAGTAATGTTGTAGGAATGTTGCAGGGATGTTGCAGTAATGTTGCAGGGATGTTGCAGGGATGTTGCAGTAATGTTGCAGGGATGTTGCAGGGATGTTGCAGGGATGTTGCAGTAATGTTGCAGTAATGTTGCAAGAATGTTGCAGTAATGTTGCAGGGATGTTGCAGTAATGTTGCAGGGATGTTGCAGGGATGTTGCAGTAATGTTGCAGTAATGTTGCAGGAATGTAGCAGGGATGTTGCAGTAATGTTGCAGTAATGTTGCAGTAATGTTGTAGGAATGTTGCAGGGATGTTGCAGTAATGTTGCAGGGATGTTTCTGGAATGTTGCAGGAGTGTTGCAGGAATGTTGTAGTACTAATGCAGCGATGTTGCAGGGATGTTACAGTAATGTTGCAGGAACGTTGCAGTAATGTTGCAGGGATGTTGCGGTAATATTGCAGGGATAATGCAGGAATGATGCAGAGATGTTGCAGGGATGTTGCAGGAATGATGCAGGGATGTTGCAGGGATGTTGCAGGGATGATGCAGGGATGTTGAGGTAATGTTGCAAGGATAATGCAGGAATGATGCAGGGATGTTGCAGGAATGTTGCAGGGATGATGCAGGAATGTTGCAGGGATGTTGCAGGAATGTTGCAGGGATGTTGCAGGAATGTTGCAGGAATGTTGGAGGGATGATGCAGGGATGTTGCAGGAATTTTGCAGGGATGATGCAGGAATGTTGCAGGGATGTTGCAGGAATGTTGGAGGGATGATGCAGGAATGTTGCAGGGATGTTGAAGGGATGTTGCAGGGATGATGCAGGGATGTTGCAGGAATGTTGCAGGGATGTTGCAGGAATGTTGCAGGGATGTTGCAGGGATGTTGCAGGAATGTTGCAGGGATGTTGCAGGGATGTTGCAGGAATGTTGCAGGGATGTCAAATTTTTACATTTGTGTTTAAACATGTTAAAACTAGCAGGTCAACTAAAAGCTAATTTTGCTGCCATTTTTAGAAGCTTCTCAGTCTGGAACTAATGTTGATCTGTAACTCAAAATGTTGGAACAAAACATAAAATCACATGCTTTTATTTAATATTTTTTCTTTTAAATAGCATGAGCTGGAAAGAAAAAGAGACTGATCCAGAAAAACTTTAAAAAATGATGCAGATTTTTGCGTTTTGAAGAATTTTACTTTAGTTGAACTCTTCTGGTTTCTCTGGGTTGTTAACATGTGAAATCTTCTGATGTAAACTTGGTCAAATGGATTCTGATTTGTGTAAAAAAATGATTCTGGTGCAACGTGGTAAACAAAAACAAGCTGACAATTGATTACCCAGAATTCCATGGTGCGCAGAATGAAAGATAAAACCTCGTCTCTTTGTTTACCACAGAACTCTCATTATTTCCCTTCATTCTTCTGTAAATGTTTCTGTTTTCGGCCTCGGCTGCAGCTCCAAATCAAAGTTTGTAAGTCCTGTCAGCTCGGATTCACACGTCTTCCTTTTGTTTCTGAATCTTATCGAACATTTCAGCTGTTTTCAGCTGCGGTTCTGAGTTGACTTTAGTGAGGAGGTAGTAAAAAGTTCAAACTGTGACCATATTAGAACTGGGTGGGCTTGTGGTTTGGTGGGGCTGGCTGCTCCGGGCTGTTCTGGAGCTTGTGGGCTCAGGTACGGGTTTTCTTGCCAGACCGCGTCCAGCTGGTCTCAGGTGTGTGCTCCTGGATGTGCTGGTTCTTCTTTTTCACGGGGACTTTGTTTGTGCAGGGATGGTGGGATAGAAACACAGTGTGGGGTGGTGGTAGCTGTGAGTCGTTCCCAGCAGCCCCTCTGAGAATCATAAAGTTTTTTATAATGACGCCACTAAAACAGCTGAAACTCTGTCAACGTTCGGCTGATTTTTACATCTTTGCTTTGTGTGTGTTCACCGATCACTTCCTGTGTTCAGAACAAAAAAACGTGATTTTATTTCTAAATTTTGTAACTTCTTGCTCTCAGTCTCGTCTTTAACTCTGAAAACAAAAATCATGAATTTTTAACTTTTCCCATCGTGTAGATTCTACTGAGCCGCGAGGGGACATGGGGGGTCTTTTTCTTTTTGTGTTCCCTCTTAAAAGTCGTTTATCACTGTCGTGCTGCCGGTTTATTAACAAACTCACATGTTTACAATTAGCGAGTTAATTTACTGCTTTAATTCAGCTTTAGAATGAATATATCACACAACTACACATGGAGGTATGTCATATGCTGATATTTGAACACAGGGCAGCCACACAACATCAATGTCAATTTCACGAACTTGAAGCAACACATCCTGTTTTAGTAACCGGATATTTCAAAATAAAAGTCTGATTTAATTCAGTTCATGTATAAATCAAACTTTTGCGTGGGAACGCAAAACAATATTGCGAGGTAATGCAAAAATATTGCGAGGTAACGCAAAAGCATTGCGAGGGAACGCAAAAGTATTGCGAGGTAACGCAAAAGTATTGCGAGGTAACGCAAAAGTATTGCGAGGTAACGCAAAAGCATTGCGAGGGAACGCAAAAGCATTGGGAGGGAACG